GGCCCACCCGTTTGAACTAATAAAGTGCCAGGGGCCTAAGTGGTCACCTCAATATTAAAAAAAAAAAAAAAAAAAAACAATTGCAAAGAAGTTTATATAGTTAAAAAAAAAAAGTTTTTTAAAGATATCTTGGCATCTACAAGGCTAATTTGAATGATTTAACTACTATTAGAACCGCAAAGACGAGCTCTACAAGTGACAAAATCAATTAACTTAGTACAAAAAAAAGTTTTCTTTAGGAAAATATTGGAAATTTTTCATATTTGACACTATGATTATTCTTCTGTTGAGTGGTGAATCATCAATTAAATTTTATTAAGATAATCTATAATTTTCTTTTTAAAAAAATATTCAAAACTATAAAAAATATATAATTATATCTTTTTTAAACTACTATAATTTATTAAATTTTAAAGTCTAAATATTCTTTAAACAGTTGTGAACACTATGAACATGCGAATATGAATATAGGCAAAAAAAGTCTTAGATATAGTAGATATGACAATACTAGTAAGCAATATCCAGATTAAGTTGCATGTTGCATACAATGGCAGTTGTAACTAGAAGGTTTAAATGAGTATCACTATAGTTGAGATGCAGGTACAATAGATCAGTGTTGTACATTTTGGATATCTGAGCCTTTTTGAACTGTCCGGCAGACTGTCCAAATCTCATCTGGCTTACAAATCTAATTTAAAAAATACATTCATATATGCAAAAATCAATTCTGAACAACTTTAATTAATAATTGAAGACGGGTCACGATAATAAAATCTTGCCCTATTTAGTATTATTTAATGTCAAACTCTGTCCAAGTATTGTCTGAGTTGTTCGAGTGACAACATTGCAATAAATAGTGTAGAACTTTCAGGCAGACTACTTAAATTAGACACCAAAAGTGCACATATGGCTTGATGTATCCTTGTTGTAATTGTAAAAATAGCAAATTTATTTAATAAAAAGCCCCTAGGCTAGAGAGGTCACCTTAATACAAAAAAAAATAAATAAATAAAACCCTCTATAGCAAAAAGAAAAATAAACTAAAAAATTAAATATTTTAATCTTATAATAATTTATTCTAATCAATTTAATTTACACTTTTTATATATAGCCAAAACTTGTTTACTCCATTTTTAATACTGTATACTGTATATAGTTTTACTACTGTCAATATTAATAACTATTATATAAGTAAATTATATATTTAATTAACTAAAAATATAAATCAAAACGTAATATTGGTAATAAAAAGAAATTATTATTGTACTTTGCATATAAGTATTATAACAAATCTTAACTAAGTTATGTCCTTTTTATAACTTTAAAAAACTAAACATACAGCAACTCGTTTTATTTTTAGTAGCAAAATCTTTTATCACATCAAATAATGAATTTCATAAGTTATCTAAGCCTTCGCAATTAAATTATAAACCAACTTGTCTATGATATCACTTTTACCCCATGATACCATTATAACAAGATTCATTTTTTATCCCAAATCAAGTGAACCGCTAAAATTTGGTTTTGGGGTGTGATTCTTACACATTGGTACGTGGACGTGATTCAAAACATCACATGGAAATAAATAGTTACATGCGACATATTATTGATTATTTTCACATATGACCAGACAACATATCATTATAATATTATAGAATTGTTTCTTTGATCACAATATTCCTTCTTATTACACCATTTAAACTCATGTATAAATATAGAAATCCCAAGATGAAATCATAAAAATGGATCGTCTAATAAGATGCGCATTAAGTACAACACTTTACTTGCCATTATATTCTTCGTTGCAATTAGTTCCTGATATTATCTGACAATCAATCAGTTTCTTCCAATATAAGTTTTAACGAGAATTTTGCTTGTTTATTGCTTGGCAACATTCAAACAATATTTTTGCGTGTTATTGGCTTAACTGTATTTAATTATTTGATAATCGATCCATCCATGGTCTTGAATTGGATTCAATTTAGTTATCAGTCTTTAAACTTGGATATACCTGATAAAAAGTCGAATTTGTTAAATAATTTAAAGATTATACTATTAAATGTACGAATATTTATTTAATGAATCGATGGTTTTTTGAGTTTGACACTATTTACTAAAATAGGATACATATTTAGGTTTTGGTTATGAACTCCAAACTAGATAGAAATGCCAATTCCCAAACCCAAACTAAGTAGAAATGCCGTAACTAAAAAAAAGAGTATGGATCACAACCCTACTCGTAACCTTGAAAACTTTCTGTTACTTGACTGTAATCCACGTGTTCAATATCTTCTTCTTCTTCTTCCTCATCAGGTAAAGGCTCCGGCAATTCAAAAGAGACATTCTCAAATTTTCCTGTATTGATTAAAATTAATTTTACTTCCATGAATTATATATATATATATATACTTTTGATATAATTTCGTGAATTACCATTTTTATCGTCCCAAAAAACCAAATATAATATTTGTTCATCTATTAATCCGAGTTTCGCGATAGTAGTATCCTCTCCATTTTGAGATTCCAAGCTAGTAAAATTAGGTGGGTTACTATTATCTGCTCTATACAACTTTATCTTTACATCGATACTCAGTTGTTTAATGATTTCTTTCTTTAGTTGAGAAACTTTATCACTTCCATTGGCTGTTACAAATAATGTACTTTTATGTCGTTTGACACGAAAATAGAATTGTTGAAGTTCCCTTTCTTTTTCATCTCTGTCTTTCTATTTATTAATAATGTCTGAATTAGCTTTTTTTAGAAAGAATCTTTTTACAAGTTGCTTACCATTTTAACGCTTGAAGCTTTTTTCATATGTAAAAAATAACTTCAATAATCACCCATTATTGAACACAGTACAGGTTAATTGGTTATCTTTTTCGGTATGAAAAAACTGTTACACGAATTTTTTATATTATTTTTACAATACATGCATATAGAGATGCGCTAAAGCCTGCGGAGAATTTTGAAATTTAACATTATTCGTAAAATTTAATAATGGAAATAATTTAACGATATCGTTTTTGAATACGTAATCAAGAGTTATATTTGAGCAAATTATAACAGTGTATTAATTTTTTTATATCTATAAACCTTTATTAGTAGTAAAATTGTACTTATACTGGTATTAGTGTTATTTATATAAATAAATATATATTTAATGAAATTGAAAGACAAAAAATATTTAATTTATTTAAATTACAGCATATATAAATTCTTAAAAATATCCATGTATACTCTTTGATTAAAAAATTAAGCCGATAAAGCCCCAAGCCGTCTAATATGTGGTAAATCCAACCTACCAAAAAAAAAAGAAAAAAAGCAATTTAATAAAAATCGTGAGATAATGAGAAATTAAAGTTAAAAATCATACCATGCCGGTACATAGTGATCAGGAGGATGCACTTCACGCGGAAGAGGAACTTCAAATGGACCCGAATCTTCCAACGGTGTTGTATCAAGTAATAAAATATCCTTCCTATCATTCGCAGTTACTCGACTTGCGACAGCTTTCAAAATCTCGGGGCTAATCGGGTTCTGTATAATAATAGTGAAACGTTAGTAGTATACAATAGCATAATATTCTATTTAACACAAACTTTTAATTACCTCATAGTCAGCTACAAAGTAATGACTTATAAGTTTTTGAATTTGAGACGGTGTCAACATCCAACAAACATCGTAAATTATTTCAATGTCTCCCAACGTAGCCTGTTTATTAAATTTAGTGATAAATATAAAGAAATAAATTCAAACAAAATGAAGTAATCATACACAAATCAATCAGGGCATACCTTTTTAAGTTGTAAAAGTTTAGTAGCTTGCATCAAGTGTTCTAATTGAAGTGTACCTTCAGGCATTTCATGGCTTTTACACCACTCTTCAATTCTCGTGATATTGTATTGAATTTGCATGGCTGATTTTATCATAAATTAATTATAAATGTTGCATTTGAATCGAATATTAAAGCAATATTAGAAATAATCTATACCTCGTTTCCAAGAGCAGAAATTACGTCTATAATAAAATAAAAATGTATTTGTAAAAATGATCAATAAACATTTCAAAACCTTTGTTACACCCTTACCTCATTAACAAGTCATTAAATGAAGTCACTCCAACAAGTTTCAATAATTCAGTAACAACTTGTTGAATAATAGACATTTCTACATAATATGATTTCATTGCTTTCCAAACTTTATTTAAGAAGTTGAGAAGATCATCCATGCTGAATGCAGGTGCTGCAGGACCAGTTATGAATTTTGTAAGAAATCGATTACTTTCACTCGTTATAAAACCGGGTAATGATTGACTTTCAATCACAGAGGGAATGACCATTTTGGATAATCGTTTCTTTAATTCTTTCATCCATGTATGATATATATTATACTCTAAACTTTCCAAATCGTGTTTAACAATAGACACAAGTCTTTCATAATCATGCCATTCGAAATTTCTACTAGAATCAGATACTAGATCAACTCCACGCAACATATCTTTCTCAGCAGCAGTAGCAAATGACAATAATTCGTGCACATTAGAGAGCCAATATGCTCCTGGAAGAATTGCATCATCTCCTTCAAAATCCTATAAGGTATAAAAGTATTATTCAAGGAAAAATGTACAAACAAAACAGGAATCTTTTAATATTAGAAATACATCTATTATTTAGCATACCATGACATGTTCCTGAATGGTTTTCATAACGTTAGCAAATAACCTTTCGGACTCTTTTATAAACCCATATTTCCACATTTGCTTCGCTATAAGACTGATAATTCGAGCTGGGAACAATATTTCTTTTTGGGATGGTGGATTTTGCAAACTTGGAAGAGGTATCTTTAAGGATTTGATTAATCTATTGATAATCTCATCATCAAGTGCTTCATCATCTTCAAGAAGTTTCATGATCTATTAATTAAGAAATTTATAATAGTTATTCTTCTGTATAGTATTGAATTTTTTTGTCAAAACTTAATAGTAATAGAAGTTTAAATTACCTGTTCTTCAGGTTCATCACCTCCGTATACACGTCCCCCTGGAGTCTTGATTTTTGGTATACTCACGTGAGTAGTTGAAATTGATGCAGGTCTTAAACCTGGCTTTTCTGCCATTATTAAATCAATAGAAGTTTTAGGTTTACGTTTGGTAACTTCATTTGGACCCCATGATTCAGCCGAACTATGTCGCCGAGTTCTTCGTTTTGATGGAGGTTTAAGTGTTGCGGTGCCTGCTGATGTCAAGAATCCATTTTCTGTTGGACGATGCGAAGATGGAGGAGTCGAGTTATTAACACCACTTTTAACTTTAGCTAATTGTTCTCTTAAAGTGGCAATCTCTTGTTTCAGTTTAAGTACTGTAGCAGGATCTTCGGTCCTATTTTTCATGGCATCACGGAGTCTGGTAACTTCTTCATCTTTTTGATTAACTTCACCTGTGAGCCGTTGAATTTCAGTGTCCTTTTTTTTGATACTTTCAAGAGAAGTATGATATCGAAATTCGAGTGCCTCCTTTTCTGATTGTAAAGATTTAAATTCATCAATGGCAACAGTAGCTTCTTTGGTTGTTTGTTTGAAAGTTTTTGAATCTGACTCCAACTCTTTATATTTCTCCATCCAAGTTCGTACATTTCCTTCTAATGTAGAAGCTTTAAGTTCAAGGGCTTTATTTTCTTGACTCTTTTGCTCCAAGTTTTGGGTGAGTTCGATAACTTTATTTTCAAGTTTATATGAAACCTCTTTATAATGAGAGGCAGAACGAGCTTCGATTTTCATTTTCTTGAGTTCTTTTCTTGCGAGACGTCTACGAATGCAAGATTGAATAAAAATAACGAGTCTAATAGTCTTCTTGTATTCACGACGCACAACCCTATGCATACAAAAATAAAACATTGTTATAAAAATTAGAATTGTTTGAATATTATTCGCATAATAATTACACACCATCCACGATATACAGATTGAATTCTTGTTGTTGAATCTTCTCTTCGGAGAGCCTTGTACTTGCGCCTTGCAATAACACCACGAACACCTAGTTTGAAATATACACAATTGCAAATTAATAAATAATTCGAGTATAATTTATGAGGATTGGTATGAAAATTCTTACAAAGCTGTAATTTATATATTGCCTTCTTAGCACGCAAGTAGCGTTTCTGTTGAATGTATCGCCTCCAATATTTTTGGATCATGACAGCAGCTCTATCTTCACGAAGGAGCTTAAGATCCCGCATGGCTTTACGTTTCCTAATTAAGGCTTGAGCTTTGATAGTTACTGCTTTCAATTGTTGGTACCTCTTTTGATGCATATGTCTTAACATATTCTTTTGCATTAATGTTACACATTCGTTTAGCCTGTCGAGTCGAAGCCTCTCCAAATAAGCAAGCTTTAGAAGTAAATTTAAATCAAATTTAGAAGATAAATAATAAATAATTAGTAAAAATATATAATAATAATATTATATCTTCAGAAATTATGTTATCATCGGTTATTACAATTTGACAATATTGTAGAGTTAACTTTGTCAAAAACTTACCATACCAGCACGGAAAAAGATCTTAGTAATTCCGACTTGATATCTGTCCGGTTCTTTAATTGAAGCATCCAAAATAATTGAACATAGTTTTCTAGCTTCAGGTCCCCATTGCGATGAACGAACCAACATGTAATATCTGAAAATGTAAACATATATTTTATAACTATTCTGCGAATATCAATTGATTAAAAAAAAATTAATAGTAACATATTTATTACCTTTGAACAAATTCATCGAAAGTCCATCGAGAGGGATAACCTGCACAACTAATTCTGATTGTTTCAAGAACACCACAAGCACGCAACTGACTGAGGATCATTTGAGGCTCAAATCTCCATGCGACTTTAGCCTCATTAGGCTTGATGCATCGAATGTAAGAAACATCGGTTGAATTAATAGTTTCCATGAGACTGATTAAAGAACTCTATATTAAACACATAAATATTATTAGTATGAGTGGTTAATCCTTATTCATAATTATCTTGAATAAAGACTCAATTCAATAATCATTAAACTTGCCTTGAAAATTGAACCTAATGTAGGTTTTTTTGAAATTACGCTCGATCGTTTTCCATCGGACTGAAAAAAAGGTAGAAGATAATATACTTAGTTAATATGTGAAATAACAATTTAATACTTAAAAAACCAAACCGCAGGTCTACACACCTTGGCAGTGGTGGGAGAACTTACGGGGGCACCTTTTGTCAAAACATCTTCTAAAAATTCAAACTCGGAGCTCTTCAACAATGCTAAATGTTCATCAGGCACTGTATCCCTGTTCTTTTCCAAGAAATTTTCCGATTCATAAGTAACGTCATGCGCGTAATGAGAAATTATAAATCCAGTGTTAGAGAATCGAGGTTTTTGGAAATATTGCTTGTATTGAGGGGTATCAAAATTTTTAAAAAGTTTTTGGCACCAAGAAGCATCGGTACCAGCCGGTAAACGACTTTCCTATTTAATATATTTTAAGACGTTATATAAAATAAATATTTGATAATATGTTATTAATAGTTGCTTGGCAAAATTATTATAAAAAAAAAGACAAAAATACAACTAAAATAATCATCATACCTCATCTAAAAGAGAAAGAATTCCTATTTTGCCTTCAATTAATTCAATGCAAGGTTGATTATCACTGAAGTTAATAAATGTCCAATTAATTTTCTCTCGCATGTATTCCTAAATATAGTATTAAGAATAAGAAACATTTAGTACTAAACATTAAAATAATAAAATTCTATGTACATGTATATATGTATATTTAATTTTCTTACCTCTTGCTCTAGTTTAAAGACGTGTTGATTAAACTTTAAAATATTAATTGAAAGAAATTAGAATAATAGTAATAAATAATAGAAAGAAAGAATAAAAGTAAATAATAAAAGGTAATAATAAAAGGTACAAAAATTTAATAAACATACCTGCTGTTGCAATTTTTCATTAGCATAGTTGATGCAAAACTGTTCAAATGAATTTTTTTTGAAATGTTCAAACCCATAAATATCAAGAACACCAATAAAACTTTTTATACTCGTTGTCCTCTCATCATTGGATAAACACCCATTAATTATGGTCACTAACCAATCAAACAGATTTGCATAAATATATTTTGCAACAGAGTCCTTAACAACACTAGCTTGCTGTATATTCAAGTCTGTAACAATTTTTTCTGATCTAGTAACAATTTGTTTTTTTACAATCCATTTTCTAAATTCCTCCAATTTTATACCAAGCAATTTTGTCGCAGTAACTAGAGCCGGATCAGTATCAGATACCATGGCCGTATTTCGGCTTGCAGTAATCTGAATATTACCAATATGCAATAGCGCAGCACAAAGTTTGAAAATCTGCCATTGTAGTTCAATTGTAACACCTATCGTGGATAAGGCTTTTTGCGTAGTTTCAAATTCATCCGCATCATTAACACCGTTTATCGTACCAATACCACCTTGACGTAAATAATGGAATTGACTAAAATCACCAAGTTCAAGATTTTTCTTTTCAGACGGAGGCGCACCAGCACATAACTATAAAGCGCAACATAATTAATAATGTTAGAGCATAAATAAAAATTTAATTAAAAATGAATAACATTAGAATCAATAAATTTAAAAAAAGTATACTTGATAAAAAATATGGTAATTTCTTTCACTCTCAGGCTGATAAACTAATCTTGAACGTTCCAATAAATAGGTTCTAATCCTTGCACCAATAATATTTTGTTGACTGTCGAATTGAATCTATAAATATGATATAGAAACTTTAATTAAATTGAGCTAATTTTCAATAAAGACAAAAAATTTCACAATACATGGATCAAAGAACATACCTCGAGGTATTTACCAAAACGGGAACTGTTGTCATTTCTTGTTGTTTTAGCATTACCAAAAGATTCCATAATAGGATTAGTAGCTGTTAAGAAAGATATATTATTAGAATAATGAAGAGGTTTATAGCAAAGATTAAGGAGCGTAAAATACAACGTCAAAATAAATAAATGATAAATCACGTACCCATAAGTTGTTCTTCTACTTCACTCATGCCAGATCCACTATTTGGTTTCTTATCACCTTGTATTTTTTCTTTATCATCAACAGAAGCAAAGTATCTCATGATAAATCTTGCATTAACAGTTTTTCCAGCACCACTATATAAGAGAACCAAATGTTACTACGAAAAGAATGTAAAAAAAAAAAAAAAGCAATGAGATTAGAATTTAGAAATGTAAATAACCTTTCTCCTGATACAACAATTGTCTGATTTTTTTCATCACGAATCATGCACCGATAAGCATCTTCAGCAATAGCAAATACATGAGGCTCTAATTCTCCACGGCGTTTTCCAGAATAAGCATTAATAATGTCTTGCGAATATAAATTAACTGACTGAAATGGATTCATGGCGATCAAGACTATGCCAGAATATGTGTATATATTATGTTGTAAATACCGCGTTTTAATTGTGTGAAGAACTGTTATAATAAGTTATAATAGTTTATATTTGTTAGAGAACCAATTTTCCGATGTTTACCCTTAACCGATCAGATATCTTATATAGCAATGAATAGCAATAACAAATTAGCTATCCAACACTATATAAAGAGCGGTATAAGGAAGTTAAAGAAAATATATATAAATATAACAAGCTATTTCTTTACAACCTGCTGGTTCGTTAAGATAACTCAAGCTTGTCAAGTCATCGACAGCCTCAAGCATGGGAGGGTTACGCAAAGGAGGCAATTCAGCATTATTTGTTTGAGCAAGTTTAGTCAAGGTTGTCGTAATGACAATTTCCTAACAATGAAAAAGATATGTTACACATACTCGAAGAAATTTAAGTTTAAATGACCAAATCGCAAATATTTCAAAAGTTGTTAAAAAGTTCAATACAAAAAATTATATGGAACGAGCTCATTACGTTAAAACAACTAAACTAAAAAGTAAAAACGCGCAGGTAATAGATGAATTGACAAACTACCTTCCCCTCATCGCCTATAAAGGTCAATTTTACATTATCACCATTCACTTCTTTCGTAATTAATTGAGCACTTATCCAGCCTTCTCTATTGTCAGGAAACCACACACCCGTTCCTTTTCCATAAACCTCTAGAGAGTGCGAGGCCATCGTCTAAGATTGGGATGACAAATTATACAAGAACGTCACCAAGAGGCACTACCAGCTTCCTGGCCGAGCGAAACAAAGGTCTAGGAACAGTTGCAAGAATGCAACAGAGAAACTTTGAACGCGAAAAAGGAGAATAAATTAAATCGATACAAGAGACGTATCAAGGAAAATGTTCCCCAAAGAAGAGCGTGAGGGGTATCAGTAATATCAGATATGAAATATAACGCACAACAGGTGTTACGTAGTTAACTTTTACACAATAGAACTTTAATATTATATATACCAATAATACAATAACTTTATCATTAATGCCGGTCATTCTTGCCATTGATTTGGCGATATATAAATATCCAAAAGAAGATGTGATATTTCAAATACACAAAAATGCAAATACTTATCACTATACATGAAAATTTTCACAATATATACAATACTGCAATACATGAAATTTTTTTTTTAAAGTACTGAAGTACCCAGTATTCATAATAATGGGTGTTACATGAACAATTGCTGTTTTGATAATAAAAACAAAATTGCTTTTTTTAATGACTGAAAAGCCTTATTACTACTCTTTTAGATTTGCTGCTTGTAATGTGTAATACGTTATTTCCAAATTCATAGATACAGCCAATTCCAAAACTGAAATTTAGATTATTTATATAGATTTAACATTCTGTATAGATTGCTATATTTACCTTAGTTTTACCTTTCAAATAGTTTCGCACCGGGGATGTGGGATATCTACATGAGATACGTACATGGCATAATCTTTGCCAATAAACTACGTTAATAAAAAATTTTGTTTGAACAATTAAGCCATGCAAAATTAATTTGGCAAAGCAAATTTTTCTTGGGCGCAAATATTCAATCATCTCAATTATAGTCACTTTTTATCCCTAAAATATGCGATTTCATAAGATATAACATATATATAGTATTAATTTTTTGACCCTTTAAACTGTGTCGGGCATATTTAGTAAATTCATATGATTTCTAAAAGCATATATACTGTTTATATTGCCGAAATGAAAATTTGCCAAAAATAACGTTGGATAAAAGCTCTAGTGATGCAGTAGAATCGTCTGGGACGATTCTACTGCAATCACTACGTAGAGTGAGTTTGTTTATAATGTCATATATATATTAATATATATTTGATATTACGATTTATATATGTGAAATACATCTACAGGTAAATCAATCTGAAAAACAAAAGGATAATGTCCGGGTGGGCTTAAGATTAGAGCTGAATTTATTTTTTAAATCCGAATTTAAATCGATACTGTATTCGAGAACAATAATAAAAACTAGCACCAGATTTATAGTATACACTGTAGCTTGCTTATAGACTCAATAATAAAAATAACTACCTAAGAGCATTTACAAGCATAACTAATGATGCTTGACGAAACTCACGAGTCTGACGGAATCATAATTTCGTCATTTCATCAATTCGTCAACGGCTAAAATAGTTCGTCAGGCATTGGGGTATTAGATACCAAATGATTTACTATCAGATTTTTTAAAATTTTGTCAATCATTTATTAAACCGTAAGGTAGATATACCTATTTTGACGCAGGTAACGTTTATGATAGATACCACACGATGTATTGATCAGAGCTGGATAATTTTAGTACCATTCGATTCGTCTCGATGAGGCGAATCGAATGGTATCAAAATTAACCAATTTCCAATTGCCAGATTGCGAGATATCGCTCATTAAAGTTTGCGTTCCTAATTAGATACGGTACCTAATTTGATGCAAGTAATGTCTTACAATAAATATCACGGGATATATTGATTAAAATCGCGTGATTTTGGTACCATTCAATTCTTCTCATCGAATGGTACTAAAAATTTCCCGATTCTGGTTGACAACCCGAGATATTTATTGTAAAACATTAACTGCGTCAAATTGGGACATCTATTTTGAGTTATTTTAGCTATATAGTGTATCTCAAGAAAAATCGATCAGAATTACATGGTTTTGGTACCATTCAATTCGTCTCGATGAGACGAATCGAATGATATCAAAATCACGTGATTCTGATCGATTGTTCTTGAGATATCATCATGCGTCAAATTAGGAACTGCGTCAAATTAGATGTATCTTTATATATATATTTTGGAGTTGTCAAATAGTATGTGTTCCGAAATCACGACATGCCCCGAGCGTGCATGGGGTATTCTAATATGATTTGTTAATGGTGTGATGTGATTGGTTGATATTTATAGCTTATATATAATATATATTTTATGTTACACTATCATGAGTGTGTAATTTGTATAACAGAAATATGCATGTTAGTTACACAAAAGCCTATTGTCGTTATTTCGTAAAAGTAGATTTTGGTCACACAAAACTAGTAATTTAAGCTGGCTATGGCAAGCCACATATGATTTAGTATATAGTAGAATTCTGAAAAGAAAAATAAATAAACATAAAATATAAATTAAATTTATTAAAATTTTCTAGAAGTATAATATTTGTTAGCCTTTAGCCAGCCAATATTTTGGTTAGCTGGCTTAGCTAGCCAACTAAAACTTTATAGCTTAAATTACTACACAAAACTAATGCAGTATAATGTATTTTTACTAAGTTTGTTGAGTAAGTATTTGTACAGGGCTATAAAGCGAATCCAAGCAAAGAATATATGATTGACTAAAGCAAAGTGTCGCAAAGCAACATGGAGTAGAAGAAAATAATTAATTAAAATACAGTATATTATGTAATTAAACTATACTATATATATATATAATAGGTGTAATATTATATGAATTGTATTTTTACAAATTTTTAGTGGAGTTTAGTATAGGTAAGTGTTTATAGTGTAGAGTTATGTAGCAAACTCAAGCATAGAATATATAATTGACTGAAGCAGAGTGTTATGAAGCGATACGAAGCAGAGACAAATGATTAGCTAAAATATATATTATCCTTAAACTGTATTCTAGGCAAATTTGCCTAAAATTTTGAAAAGTATTTACAATTTTTTAAATAAAATTAAAAATTATTAATGATATAGATATAATTTATATATACAATATTTTATTTAACAAGCATATCTGGAGTTTCTGCTGCGAGTTAGTTGCTGACTAGAAAAAAAGAAATGAAATAATCTAAAAAAAGAAGAAAAAAAAAACAAAGAAAAGAAAGCTGAGCCTGAATAATGAATTGAATAAGAAGAACAGATATCCTCAGAGTTCTGAAAATAAAAAGTAAAAAAGTAGTAGGGGAGTAAAGAAGAAAAATCTAAAAGTAATAAAAGAGAGAGAAAAAATAGTTGAAGAATAGATCTTCTGGAGTAATAAGCCAATATGGTCTTCACTGGACAAAGTGCAAGGGAAAAGTTAAACAATTCTGACATAGTATACAACGGCCAATTGATAACCAAAAGGGGTATCAATATACAATACAAAATCCTTAGTAAGTTAAAAATCCTAAGAGAAATGAACAGTTGTTATAGCAGGTCATATTGGGTAAATATCTAGTAAGTCTTTATTAGATTAGAACAATACATTATAAGAATGTAGTACAATTGTATGATAGTCATATAGTAGTTTACATAAATAAAGGCAGGATTGCTTAAAAAAAAAAAAAATTTATTTAAATACTATAGCAAATAGCATCATTATGCATCAAATTTGGTAGGGGTTAAAGGCTTGTGATAAGCAAAGCTGGCACAACAGGTTTCTAGTTTAGTTAAAAGACTAAATAATATAGAGTCAATAAGGAATATAACCTGAATTAGGCTAAGGCAAGCACAGGTTAATAACAAAAGCAGTAGGTGCATAATTGAGTGGTCTGCTTAATGGCTAAATAAGGCTAAAATAAAGTTCAATTTTAATACAAATATAATTAAAGAAGCCATGAAACTAAGTATAAAACTGGAATACAACGAAGTAGCAAAGAGTATGCATTTAGGTGAAGGAATAGAGATTTGGTTTGTATTAAACAAGATTAAAAGAAAACAGTATATAAAAAGCAAATTAAACAATATTATATTTATAGAACAATTGTTTAAAGAAAAAGAATTAGCACTTTTAACTTGGCATCAAGTAAAATTTTTAAGAGAAAACAAGAGCAAAGGAAAGAAGCTCTTATAGTTTAACAGTACTGAGTATATAGCAATTAATAACCAGATAACAAGAGAGGTGCATACAAGATACAAATATGGTAAAGAAAATCAAGTAGCTTTATTGCCCTTATTTTAACATATACCCGAAGATAAAAACAAAGCAGAATAAGTTGTACTGGCGAATAAAAAGGGTACAACAGATTTGGGCCAGGTGGTTAAAAAAGTAAAAGTAAATGAAAAATAGAAATAATATACTAGAAAAGAGAGAAAGAAAATAAAGACATTTACGACAAATATTAAGGCTGTAGTTTATCTAATATGCAGAAGCCCAATGAATACAAAATAGGGTTGAACCTAAAGAATAAGCAAAGAGCATTAAAGAAAAACTGCATTAAAAAGCAGAGAGAAAACAAAATTCTGTGCAAGGTGCTACTAGCAAATATTAGCAAAAGAACCAATATACAAACAGATATTTTTATCTTATTGCCAAGCTCTATAGTAATAATCAAAAACTTAAAAGAAGATCTAATTGACAGATATATAGTAAAGCAGGAGTATAGGAAGAAAACCTAGAAGTCATTGCAGAAACTGGCAGATTATGCAAAATTAGACATCTTCACAGATGGCTCCTTAGATGGGGATAGTGGAAGCAGAAAGCTGAGAAAAATGAGTATAGGCTGGATTGTAGCCAAAAGGACATAGAAGCAGTACTAAAGCAGTTCTCAAGTGCAATAAAAGATTGGTCTTTTTCAATGAGAGCAGAAATAGGTGCTAATGAGCTTGCATTATTAGTAGTACCAAACAAATACAGGATACAGGTTTTCACAGATAGTGCAAATACAATTAGTATTATTGAAAAGATTAGAGCTAGCCCAAATGACACAAAAACAACTAAACTCAAAAATGGGAGTATCATCACA